AAAAAAAAAGAAAAAAAGAAAAAAAAGAAAATTACTTTATTTTTCTAAGTGTTAAACTCAGTATTTATGTAATTCTTTAAGGAATAAAAGTTTGGCTCCTGTACAGTTTTAATGGGGTTTGTACCAGGGGGATGGGAGAGGGGTGGGTGGGCGGGCATGGAGGCAGGAAAGGGGCCTTGCTTTTGAGTTTGTATTGTAACCTTGGACATGTTCCCTCAGCATTAGCGTTTAAGCTGCACTCTCCATCCACCAGCATGTGCCAGGGAATCAAGCTGAACTGAGTGGGATGCTTGTTTCCTTCTTACCTGTAATGAGGACTTCATACCCATAATTTTGGGCTTAACRGGCAGAAGGCAAGTGAAGCAGTGGCTGGTCTCTGGAGGTGGGAACCCCATTCCTCAGGAGCAGGGAGTTTGCAGTGTGCCCAGGAGCCAGAGGTGGGCTAGGTKGTCTGATGACCACCCTGTTCACCTCTGGTCCAGGGACCTACAGCTGTTSTGTCCCTGCTCTTGGTGCAGAGCAGTGCTGCCCGTAACTGCCTAAGGGAWATGGGCATCCCCACTCCTCCCTGTGGCGAGTGACCAGCAGTGGCTAATCCCTGTTCTCCCTGCTTGCTGTGCAGGCAGCATCTCCAGAACTGGCTGACCATCTGGGCTGTAGCACCCCCTCTACAGCCTTTCTGCAGCACACAGATGCAGACAGRTCCCCTCCAAGCTCCCTGTGCTAAGAATTCTCAGAAGGGTCTTTCAGCCCTGGATCTGTTAGCAGCCTGGGAAGGGCTTGTGGGACGCATGGGGTGGCCCATCTGGTGAGGGTGACATTGCATGCTGCCTCCCCTCAGAATTCTTGCTCCAGGAGTGATGCAAACCCTGCAGCTCGGAGTGTGTGGGAGTGCTGAGCCATGTCCCATGGCTAGATGTAGGAAAACTGCTCAGTGATGCTTCCAAAATCATGTAGGTACCTAGGAATTCATCCAGGGAGAAGCGTGGGRTTCCAGTTTGCATTGTCCTTTGCCCCAGCACATTGCTGTGGCCTGGCTTTGCTCTGCTTTGCTTCTGCTGGCACTATGGAGCAGAGTTCTGTTGGGCCAGAATGGCAGGAGAGCCCCTGCTGCTACAGGGTGTCTGACTGCATCCCCTCCCTGGCTCCCCAAAGGCAACTGCTGGTTAAACGCTAATGGTGTATTTTATTTAAGTGCAGACTTGTAAGAACACTTGTGTATCAGGGATGAAATGGCATTTATTGTGTGGTGACATTTTTAGTTCATTTTACTGGTTTGAGGGGTGTGTGTGYGCRYGTGTGTGTGTGTGTGTGTACGCATAAGTGTGTGTGGGATTATTTTTTTTTTCCCTCCAGTTTCCAGGGTTGTGTTTCTGGAAGGATGTGGAAGTAATCACAGTACTATGTACAGAGCTTTCTTTTGTATTAAAAAAAAAATTTACTCTTTCAATAAATGTTATCATTTTGTGCACAGATTTGGGATCTTGACCATGCTTTGGAAGAGGGGATGACACACGCCGTAGGGGTGACAAATGGGGATTGGGGGCAGATTCCTGCATCTGCTTGTGTACTGAGGAGGATGGGGAGCTATCTGAGCAAGTCTCCATCCTTACTGTCTCCTGTGTGGCATTATTAAAAAATCCAAAGTGGAGAGACATTACTCAAAGTCACCTCAAAGTCAGGCAGAGGTGCCAGGCCCAGGGCATAGGGGGGCTCCATAAAGTGTCTAAAGGTGAGAATAAAATTAAAGGGAGAGGGGCTTATTACAACYATCAGGGCTACTGGGGCAAGAGTAGGCCAGCTAAAAATGCAACTTCTGGCCACTCCATAGCGTCAGTGCCTGGAGCAGGTGGCCACACTGATAAAAGCATGCAGTTTGGAGAAAATACCTCAGGAAGGGAGAAGGTTGTACAGAAAGCACTTAGGAACAAAACACAGCTGAAATGGCTCTTTCCCCATTAGGAAGTGAGATGCTTCACTTTTACAGGTTACACACAACCAGCCCCATGCCTGCACAGGTGTGGCTCACAGTTCAGCACCATAAAGCCCCTTTCAGCACAAGCAGTCCCATGCCACTTGTGCACAGGGGGCTGTGTGTCACTTATGTACCACAGATATAATCTTTACTTTTAGGATAAATGACGTAAGCACAGTGTCAAGACCATCAGAGCAAAAAGCAGGCCAATGTGAATGCCACAGAAAACCTCTCCATGTCACAAACAAGTTATCTTGGTAGTGAATGGAGAAGGGAAATGATTTATTGATCGAGAACACAGATTTCAAGAGCTTCCATGGAATTCTGGAAAGAGAGCATCAATAGCATCAACAGAAATTACATGTACTAATGCAGAAATCAAGAGTGTGCCTTGGAAATACAAACATGTGCAGCCCACCATCGGTGCCACTGGAGGTTTAGAGGATGGTCTCCACAGACTGATGCAGCACAACAGTTTTATCCAGCCTATTGTTAATTGCATTATATTGTTTTGATTAATTGCTGATTGCTTTTGTAAAACATGGAAATTGTCTCATCCACTGCATTAGTACTGAGGGTACAAATTAGGTTGGGCACATACATGAAGTCGCTCCAGGATCAAGYAAGAAAGCAAAGTCTTATCTATTTAGCTGATAATTTTCATGTTTGTTTATAATTTAAAACAAATGTTATCAGACTGATAGAAACCTGCACATCAAGGAAGGGAAGTACGGGCAAAGGTTACAAATTTAGATTTTATGGTATGGGCATTTCAGATCAGTGTGACACCAGTGCTGGAAAGGAACTGGAAATAGGCCAAACTTGTGTGCAGCTGGCTGCAATTGGCTCCCCAGCACCACTGAGAACAGGGCAGTCTCAGAGCCCCAAACCTTCCAGGAGCCAGCGCAGCTGTCACTGAAGCCAACAGGGTGGATGGAGGGTGGGTGCAGGGCTGGAACCACCCCASAGCCACAGCCTGACATTGCTGCACTGTATTTCTTGATTAATGGTGCATTGCAGTAATTATATTAATGCTGACATGACATGCTTTTCACCTTCCTGCCACCCATCCTGCTTGATGAAGCGCTCGACAATTAATCACAGAGAATGCAGAAACACGCAGTGCAACATTACCAAAAAGCAGCGCACTCTAGCAGGTGCAGTCTTCAGCTCACAACCTCCATTTGTTCTGGTTTCTAATATTAGCCAGGAGAATCAGAAGATGTTCCAATCTTTAATGTTTTTTCCACCTCTCACCACCACTTCTGGTCTGTAGCATGGGAGAACGGCAGCTTTGTGACCCTCCAGTGCCAGCTCAGGCCTGAAAACCCCTGTGGAAGCCACAAGCTGTCCCGAGGGGCAGCCAGCAGTGCCCTGGGGACATTCCCAATGGGATCCTGGGCTGCATTAGGAAYTGCATCGCCAGCAGGTCAGGGAGGTGATCCTGCCCCTCTGCTCAGCCCTGCTGAGGCACATCTGGAGGGCTGTGTCCAGTTCTGGGCTCCTCAGGACAGCAGAGAGCTCCTGGAGCAGCAGAGGGTGACAGAGAGGGACCGGAGCCCCTCCCTGGTGAGGAAAGGCTGAGGGAGCGGGGCCTGTCCAGCCTGGAGAGGAGACCCTGAGAGGGGCCCTCAGCAATGTCTGTGGGGTGTGCAGGGAGGCTCAGAGCAGGGAGCAGCCTCTGCCCCGTGGGGCAATGGCACAGGAGGCACAGGAGGCTGCAGGTGACCGTGAGGAAGGGGATCCTCACTGAGCAGCGCCCCAGCACCGGGACAGAATACCCTGAGAGGCTGTGGAGTCTCCCTCGCYGGGGACATTCCAGAACCATTGGGACACCATCCTGTGCGAGTGCTCTGGGGTGACCCTGCTTGAGCAGGGAGCTTGGACCRGGTGACACATGGTGTTTCCCTCCCAACCTGACCCATCCCGGGATTCTGAGGGAGCGCGGGGCCACACGCGGGCGGAGCGCGCAGCTCCCGGCGCTCCCGTGTCCCTCGCCGCCTCCCGTAGAGGGCCCGGAAGCGGCGCGCTRTTTCCGCCTCCTCCCGGTGGCGCCGGGGCCGCTCTGTGCCGGAGCCGCGCCGGGGGCGTGAGCGGGGTCGGAGCGGCGCTTGAAGGGCCGCTTCCCTCTCCCCGTGTCGGGGTGAGTTGGCAACCCGTGCCTTGCTGTGCGCTGCCCTGTGCGGGCTCGCTGTGTCTCCGGGGCAGCGGTGAGTGAAGGGCCCGGCATTGCGGCTCGGCTCTCTGCGGTGTCCAGGACGGCCCGGAGGGAAAGCCCGTGTGTACCGAGGCACGGCCGTGCGAGCGGTGCTGTGTGTGTGGACACTATGCAAACTAATTTAAAGAAAACAATTGTGTGGCTTATGGTGTGGCATTCAAACGCTGTTACGAAGCACAGGAGAATAACTTGGTGTTTTTGTTACAGAGGCTGCAAGAAGATTTCCATCTGGCTTGCTGACAAGTCCAAGGAAGGCAGCACAAGTGAAGGTAGGTATRCATTTCATGGGAGTTCAGACTGCTTCTCTCTGCAGCTGGAAAGTATTTTTAATGCACCTGTCATAGTCTTGGATAGTTAACATATTCTTTGGTTAAACAGATTGACTSTTTCTTTGGTATCCTCACTCCTTTTTTAACAATGACTCTTGTTAACACCAGCTGAGCAGCATCTTGCTTTGCTGCTTCTCTTGCCAGTGTGTGTAAGTGGTAGGAGAGTTTCCCACTGCCACCTGAGCTCCTCTGAGATCCTTCCTCATCAGGCTGATCTAGAATCCTGTGTGAACTCAATCCRTGGCTTTGTTTGCTGCTGGCTTGCWGATTTTTGACAGMAAATTATTTCCATGCTCCTCTTYGCATGGATGAAARCAGAGAAGCACTGTGTCTTCTTTGTAGCCCCAAGGTGCAGAACAATCAGGTAACAGAGAGCAGCAGTCTTTTAGTTCTGTTGAATTTGTCCACTGATGAAACATTGTAAAGGCAAAGAATCCTGAGAACAGGCCAAGGAGGAAACACTGAGAGACTTTCAGATAGTGACCTGATTTGATATGCATGAACTAGACCTGAGAAATTGCTCATTGTTTTCTTCAGGGCATGGTGAATGAAAGGTCCCTGTGCACAGTGAGCTCTAGGTAAACTCGCAGTCTAAACCATTATAAATGGTAAATAACAAGAGAAAAGACAGAAATGCAAAAGCAGCAACTTGTGTGGGTCATGTTGTGGGCAGTGGCAGAGATGAGAGCAGTACTCAAGTCTCCCATCATTATTTGCTGTCTTACAAGAGGGCCTATTTTGCCTTGGTGGTTTTTGTTAGGATTTTTGTGGTTTTTTTTGAGGAGAACCTCCTGCGTGTGCCAGTAATGCTGGGAACAGGTTTTGTATATGAAAAACTGTCTTATTTCCTTGGAAGGTGAATGTCAGCCCCTGCAAAGTGGGTTTTTCTTCAAAGCTTTATCCTGGCTTTAGGATCTCAGGATCCATAGCTGCTTCTACAGTCAAGCAGCTGAGGGGCTTGCTCACACTTTCCCCAGCGTGTAACTCAGAAATAAAAGCTTGACCCTGCTTCCCCTCTGTCTCTGCAGACACATGTGCTGCCATGGTGAACGAGAAGCACAATGGCAGCCTGCTGGTGCAGCTGGGGCCCAAGCTGCAGGCGTACCCAGAGGAGCTGCTCCGTCAGCGGCGAGGCCACGCCGGCCGGCCGGAGTACCTGGTGCGGTGGAGCGTGGTGAGCCTGGAGGAGAGAGCGGCGGGAGGCGGCGG